TGCTATTTCAAAGGTCGCGGGTTCGATTCCCGCACAAGTCAAACATTTGTGTGCATGAACATTTAATGTTTGATTTGGTCTGGGTGTTTCTATGTATAATATGTATGTATTTACAAAAAAAAAGTATATATGTATTTATATCAGTTGTCTAGTACCCATAGTACAAGCTCTGCTTAGTTTGGGACTAGATGACGTTGTGTGAATGTAGTAAAATATATTATATTATATTATATTATTTAAAAAACACAAAACTTTTAAACAAAATAATAAACTGAAACACTGACAGACTTATACATCAATCACGTTCAAAATTACATTCTTGATAAGTAAGTATTAAGATCAAGTGAAATCTTTAATTCGTGAGAGAGTTTGTTTGAATAAGATGACTGGACACAAAACGCAAGTACAAAAAGCGGTTGGCCACGGGTCATTTCATTGCATTGTTATGTAAGGATAAATATTTCGTTGTTTCTTTCTAGCTCTCATATTGAATAACTGATGAAATCTAGATAGACATGTTGTTTATACACATTTTAACATAGGATTATTTCATTATTTTAATTTTTTCATTTACTTTTTGCTAAGTGCACAGTATTTTTCTACGACACTTAAAAAAGTTTGCATATGTAAGAAAACTTTTAAATTACTCGTGTCGAGTCTATCCAAAAACATTAGATAGATTTTTTATTTAGTAAACGATTTAGTAAACTAATCAAATCAAATCAAATCAAATCAAATCTTTATTTGCCAACCAAGTGTACATCAATGATCTTATAATATTATATGTAGTAGTCCCAACTTATAAGCCTTTTCCAGGCATTGCAAAAATTTGAGAGAGAACGCAGAAGAATAAATTGTTACCCAAGTACAAGCATTTTTTGAACAATTCAAATTAAGTGACTCAATAGTACAGTATAACAATCGAACAAAGCATGCAAAAATACGAAGGCACCCGACATTCTACATCACTAATACATATACACATTTTCCTACTGTCCCTAGCATTTCCGTGCATCACGACCGATTTTTCTTTTCATGATTTGTACTTAGGTATATGCTTTCTGTTTTCCGTGTAATAAGAAATGTAGTTTGTTAAGTGTTTTTTTCCTTAATGTATTCTTTAACAGAATAGAAACATTTTGTTATTAAGAATGCTTTTAGTTTTTTAATGAATAGTGTAGTCTTCCTTTCATTTTTTATGTGGATAGGTAATTTGTTGTATATTTTTACAGCCATGTAGTAAGGGCTCTGGTTCAGCATTTTAATTCTTGATGGTGGTAGGTATAGTCTGTCTCTGTGGCGTGTGTTTAAATTGTGATTGTCTTTTACTCTCGCGAAGTGACTCATGTTCTTGGATACAAATATGCAGATGTCAAATATGTATAATGATGGTAGTGTAAGGATGTTATATTTAATGAAGAAGGGCCTACAACTATCACGATTTCCAATTTCCAACTAAATAAACAATAAGTGATTCGATGAGACCCTACATATTAAATAAAGTATTTCAAGGTACTATTAAAACTTAATATCAGCAGTACGAAAAAGCAAACCAAAAATTTGCTTTCTGCTCGTTGCCCCCTCTTCCATAAAAAAAACCTTCCGTTGTATAAATATACATATTCCAAGTCGATGCTCGCTGACCGCATAGTTAGATAACATATCCTCTGTGCCCCCTCATGTCTATAGTTATGAGTAATATTAGTGGAGTCAAATATTGGTGTTAACTTTTTCTGCAAATATTAATTAATATTCATGAAAATATTTTAATAGTGATACCCACGGTTATAGCTAACTAACGACAGACAAATGTTTACGTATTTATCTGTGAAAATAGATATAGGTGTGGAAATAAAAAAATAAACATCACTAACAAAACAGCTAACAAACAATGCCGCAGCAAGTGGCACATTATTGTTGGCGAATATTTGACGAATGCCAAATACAGGTATTACCTGCATGTAGCCTACGGCGACTACTAGTGTAAAATAAGCTTTCGAAATAACGAGCTGTATTTGCGACTTGAAGGAGCGCCTAAGCTAATACTTTCCGGGAAATCTATGTCAGAGGTCACGCGGAACACGCAACATTCGGTGTGTAACTCGCGTCGCCTCTACGTAATTAATATACTGTTTAAGGCAAACGCCAATTAAAGGACTCTCATTAATTACTTTAGATTCTCATCAAATTGACTAATAAACTAATTTACAGCGGTAATTCACTTATTAGGAACGACTATTATTATTATATAAAAGATAAATTTATTATTAGGTTTCTTTGAGTATGTAATGGGTTAATAATTATCTCGTCAGTGTTAACCTTTCTATTGCGAGAAGTAGCCTATAATTGGTCAACAGTGACAATAACTGTACTTATGGCTTCAATGAAGTGTAGTATTCCAAAGTAATGCGGTCAAAATGTTACGAAATTATTAAAAAAGGAGTTATCTTGGCTATCGCCCACAAAAAACTTGTGCCTGAACTTGTTTGATTGACACAAAATTAAAAAAACACCATTTAAACAGACGTTTAGATACAAACTGGGATATATGTACTTGCTACAGATAAATAAGTATTAGTTTACAGACATACTTACCTACATAGCACGTTCTTGACAATGGACATGCTCTCAAATTCATGTTCCGAATCATTAACCACGTAGTGGAATGAAATTGGTATATAGCGATAAAAATAACAGCAAGCGTATTATGGCTTACTATATAAGGAACCGGACAGGTAAATGTTAACTATGTATCAGACAGCAAAAAAAGAAGGATGTACTTGAACAAATATTCCGCTTAAAATATAGGTCATATAGATGCAAATAGACAAATTAACGCACGTTATGTTCTGTCACTACAAGACTACCAAATGGAAATTATAGTTATGTCAACAAACTAATAAATAGTTAAAACAACTTTAAATATGTAGAGACTAAATCTCTGTGACATAACCGCTACGGTTATGTCACAGAGATATGCCTCGAGGGAGTATTCCTTAAAATGCACCTGTTCTTATGGTACTCGTTGATAAGACCGAAATAAGTGACTTGAATCAAACTCTCAATCCCTTAGTAAAGAGGCTTTACCTTTCACGTGACGTTTTCTTTTATTTCAAAAATATCACACTAGTATTATAAAGGCGAAAGTTCGTGAGTGTGTGTTTGTATCTTTGTTACTTCTTCACGCTCAAACAGCTGGACTAATTTAGATAATATTGGTATGGAGGAAGCTGAAATCCTGGATTAAAATAGGCTTCTTTTTATCGCTAAAAATATAGTGTCCCCGTGAGATGAGCCAGGAAATGAAATATAATTGCTACTCTACTACATGAGTGTGATACTCGTAAACAGCAGGTAACACCGTGGGGCGCAGCTAGTTAATTCGTAATTGAATCTAACACAAACAATAGTGAAGATGGCCATGACAAACGATGTTACTTGTGCACTAATCGTCGTGCATATCTCTAGGCATCGATCTTCATTACCCGCATAAGCGGCGCCTTGCGATTCTTTTTACCAACATGTAAGGCGAACGTGAAAGTTACATCATTACCGATCTCTTCAAGTGTTATGTGAACATGTACAAACAGCATATTTCTTTCAAATAATATTGTTCACTTGTCGCTTCTCAGAGGCAAGTCGTAAATCAAATACTTTTTCTTGTTTCTAAAACATTCTATGACTGTTACGTGTGTTCGATGGCTTACCTGTTGCTTCTATATGCATACCTTATGAATGAACTAAAGTATGTTATCAATGAGCCATAGAGCGTAGAGGTCCGTCAAGAATTCCAAATTCAAATCTTTTATTCACTTTTTTTTTATTTAACGACAATTCCCGCACTATTTATATATCCTGTATCGCGTGGGACTTTAGAAACATACAATGATAGGGATACAAAGAACACCAAGATTCAGAACAACAATTTGTTGATCACACTAAGTGTGGTCCCACGTGGAGATCGAACTCGCAACACTCAGCGCCGCTTAAACCACTATGCCCTGCGTGCAATTTACTACTAATAAGTGCCAGTGCCGTTTAGAAGTAGTAAATACCTTCTAGTTAAAAGGAGTATAAGTTTTTCAAACCACTATGTAGTAATGAAGAAAAACTATCAAAATTAGTTAGTTATTAGTTATTTGTGTACTAGATGTAGATTTATGAAGATTGTAAACGGATAAGTTTATGAACACAAATAAAATAGTTAGATAATGTCATAAAAGTCATATCCTATGTATAAATATAAAAAGGTAGGTTTATTGTATTCATATTTGCCTCAAATGATTTATGTATCCAGTATAATTGATTTAACAAACTTTTAAATAAGCCAATTAAATAAATATTCTCATTACTTACTACAACATTATAAAAGCGAAAAAAAAGATTATTTTGTAATTATTCTTGGCATTGTATTGAAAGCTTCCAGGACCGTGACATTTCCGCGAAAGCAGTCTTAAGTTTAAGCAAGTTCGGCATAATGACTTTGGAGCAAATCTTTTAAAAAGTAGTTCCACATTACAAGACAGATACAACGTCCTTAATTAATATCTTGATGTCACGATGACAAACTATCAATTACACGGTGTCCATATCTGTTGGTTTGTTGTTTTTACCAATTGCTTTCACACTAAATGTACAAACTTGCATCTCTCATTGTACCTATGTATGTATAAACTGTAAAGCGGTAACGTATTAATGCACAATATTCTATTTTACGACTACGATTGCGCATTAAGAAGTAGGTAATAATAACATTCTACCATTAATGTGGGAGAACATTATTATTAATAATTAATTTAGTAACCTGTCAATAGGATATACAGGGAAAACATAACAAGAAGTAGCAGAAGTACAGTACGGAGCTGGGGGCACAATAAATGTACCTGTCAAGTTATTATGCATGCCTTTATTAAAATTACAAAGCAATTAGATCTAAATATTAGGTCACTGTTTTGTCCGCAAAATACGGTCATTCTGTGCATGCGAAACAGCGCGATGCTATGTGTACGGCGCGACGGCGGCACGGCCCGTGCCCGCGCGGGCGCCTTTCACCGCAGGTCGTAGGTCAGGGCGCGCTCAGGTGCTCCGCCCTCGGCTCTCCGCCCCCGCACCGCAGCCGTGTCCACCCGCGCCCTGCACTCTGCAGTAACGGCCCGCCACCATTGCCCTATTCAGCTGTCGTCGCGAGAACAACATCGCCGCCGCTGGGAATAACAATACTTACGAATTATTCCACTGCTCCATACTACTGAGAAACAATTACAAACAATACAAATTTATAACATAACTTTCACAATGCTCTTTGTACAGTTGCCATCTTACTCTTGTAGGCCGCAATTATTGCATCCATCCTTTTTGTCGTTCTCTTAGAGGACATCTCATACACAGCCTGTGACTAATATGAATACTAGAAAGTCAAATCATCTTGCAGTACCAAAATTAAGGTTACAATTTTTTGCGGCACATCTACATGATAATTTCCTGTCACTAGAGATGACGATCGAATCAATTTGTAGTTAAGTGTACATCTTCACAGCGTTGCGTATAGTTGAGGTGGCGTGCGAGATGCATCGTTAAGTTAATGCGGCCGTAACGGCGGAAGCTGCGCATAACGTTAGCGAGCTTTCGGCGGTTCCCACGGCGCCCCTCCTCGCGACCGATGCGGTTACACAATGAAAGGTGAACGCGGATCTAAGCAATCGCTTAACCTCGCCCACTGCGCCTGCGCTGCCGCACCGCGTCTCGCCAAGCTCGACAAAACATGATGCACATTCAATACCGATCACACGTTCATAACTCACACATTGTCACACTAATACAACTTATTAAATACCTGTTTTATTTTTCTGTTCAGCAATATATTAATTTTATCTTACTTTTTTCTGTATCGATTTCGCAATAATGAACACTATATATAGTAGACCTGCATTCAAGAAGATTACAATGCACATGTTTCGTAATGTTTTAGGTATGTTGTCTATTAACTGTAAAAAAACAGAGACTGTACTAAATACAGCCGCTACTTTAAAGACCTTTGTATATATTTACTTACTTTTCTTTAAGACACTTGATAACGGACGTAACGCTACGAGACTCCGGAAGATAGCAACATTGAGTACTTTCTATACATCCGGCAGTTCAGGCGGGGTCACGACCGCTCTTTTTGTCCAGCCTCCAGGCAGGCGAATGCACGCGACCCGTGCGTGATTATGTTCGACGCGCTTAATTATGCTGTCACATCGTCACTTGATGGGCGATAGTGAAAGCGAACGATACTTGCCGTAATAATAGACGAAATACAGCGTACGTTTATGATGATCCACGCCTTGACTATTGTCACATTTCACAGAAACTTTGTTTTCGTATACATTTATTCTAAACATCATCAGAAACACGATCTAAGCACGTGTTTGTTAATGTAGTTTCGGTGTATCAATCTAGTTGTAATACAAACACATTAGCGTACGAAATCCTACTTGCTCACACTTATTTTTTATCTGAACGAAGATAAATCAAGTTAAATTGAACAGCAGCAGTGACAACCTTGAGGTGTGAGCTGTCGGACAAAACGAGATATTGTGATGTCGTCAATTCGAGACCAGCCATGTTTCAATTTATTTTACCGACATATACTTTTATACGTACGACTTAAAAAGGGCAATGTGAATATACATACATAATTCAAAAATAAGTCTAATTTATAATAGTAGAGTAGAAATGTACAAATAGTCATACCATTAAACTTTTTATTTCATTTTGTAAATAGTAGTTACATCTCTTATTTTTTTCTTTTTTACTTTCCAACAAAATAACTCTAATCAAACTTCAAAGTGACCTCGAGTTGTTAAAACCTCAGAAAGTTATTTTATAAGAGGTTCTTCATCATCATCACAGTCATATGCAAGGTTCCTACCGCACTTCAAAACCCACCAGTTGAACTTGAATTGTCCGGTAAATTGATAAAGGAATATCGTTACCAAATAATAATAGCGTCGTGAGCGAGTACGTGCGTCATCGTTTTTAATCAAATCGAACCTCAAACCATACACAATGAATCTTTGATATGAAATTAAGGAAGTTTATCTTGAAAGTTCAAACTGCATCATAATTTAATAAAGGCAAAAACTGATACACAGCTATATATTTTCTGTTCGATACACTTCGGGCGAAGGCGATATTGTATATTCGCTCTTAATTTTAGTACAAAAAGAACGATTCTCGTTTTGGTCGTTGATGTGAACGCACAATTTCCATGTGCGGGCTCGGTTCCGGCTTCGGAATAGTCCGGTCCTCCTTGAGCGACGCGGCTGAATCCGACGGGCTCGACCGCAATCTTTTAGATCATCGTCTATATGGGTACATACCTACTATAACACATTTATTATAAACAACAAAGCGGTTTTGAATAACGGACTCATTTTCGTTAGTATTGGTGTAGGATTTTACAGTTTTCGTGCGAAGCCTTTCTAATTAGGCAACGTTATGTAAACAATGTAACAATCTAGTAAAAAGTAATGTCTTCGACCCCACGACAAAAGCTTTACTATAGCTATTGAAGCAATATTGTGCAAGCATACCTACTATTTTAATAATTATAGATAGTCATGTGCATGACGAGGACACACGCGGTGACGTGTAGGCGGCAGGCGCGTCAAGTGTGCAATACGCATAATTTATTCATGTAAGACATACCAATGAAACTAATATGTACATCACATCATCACATCAACAGCCTTTAATAGTCCACTGCTGGACATAGGCCTCTCCTTAGAAAGGAGGTTTTGGCCTGCTACCCCACGCTGGCCAAACGGGTTGGTATAGGGTTTGTGTCAACCCAGGAGTTGGCGGACCTCCGTGCGGCCTGTGTGCGTGCCCGGAGGTCCCTCACCCGCAGTCGGCGACGTCACCGCGGGGTCGGTGAGGAGGTGGACCGACTTCATGAGGAGTACCGAGAAGCTCGGAAAACTCTGAGGCTGGCCATCTGCCGCGCCAAGGATGCGTGTAGAGAGGAGATGCTGGAGAGTCTCGAGCGTGACCCCTGGGGTCGCCCTTATCGTGCGGTGCGTCAAAAGCTCCGCACGTCGGGCCCCCCCTTACGGAGACTCTCCAGCCCAGCTTCCTGCAGGAAGTGGTCGAGGGCCTATTCCCGCAGCGGGCGGAGCACACGCCCCCGTCGATGGCTGCATCAGCCGGAGACGACGGAGGCAGCGAGGGTGATGTTCCGCCCGTCAGGGTATCGGAGTTGGGGGTGGCTGTTCTACGGATTCGATCCAAGAACACCGCCCCTGGGCCGGACGGGGTTCCAGCCCGAGTGATGGCCCGAGCCCTCGACTACATGTCGGACCACCTCAGGGGGGTGTTGGACGCTAGCCTGGCGTCCGGACGCTTCCCTGAGCGCTGGAAATGCGGGAAGCTGGTCCTGCTGCAGAAGCCGGGACGGCCTGCCGATTCGGTCGCGGCCTATAGGCCTATCGTGTTGCTGGACGAGGCGGGTAAACTTTTCGAGAGGGTGCTCTCTGCCCGCATCGTCCGGCACCTCTGCGAGGTTGGCCCCGATCAGTCGGACGCCCAATTCGGTTTCCGAGAGGGGCGTTCGACGATCGATGCCGTGATGCGCCTTAGGGCCATGACCGGGGAGGCCGTGAGCTGCGGCGGAGTGGTGTTGGCGGTGTCTTTGGACATCGCCAACGCCTTCAATAGTCTGCCATTCAGCTGCATCAGGGAAGCGCTCCACTACCACGGAGTGCCAGAGTACCTGAGGCGGCTGGTGGCAGACTATCTTGAGGAGCGAACCGTCATGTACGAGGACCGAGATGGCGTCTTGAGACGCAGGGCCATGTCGTGCGGTGTTCCGCAGGGGTCTGTCCTAGGACCACTCCTGTGGAACATTGGATACGACTGGGCCCTACGAGGACGTCTCCCCCCCGGGCTGGGTGTACTCTGCTACGCAGATGACACTTTAGTCACGGCCCGGGGGGCTAACTTCCAGGAGGCGAACTTCCTGGCCGCCACGGGAGTTTCCCTGGTGGTCGGGCGCATTGAGGCGTTGGGTTTGCGGGTGGCCCTGGATAAGACGGAGGCCCTATTATTTCATGGGCCCCGTCGTGGTCCACCCGCCGGCGCCTCAATCGAGGTCGGCTCGGTCCTCGTACCGGTCCGGGCCCAGATGAGGTACCTGGGTCTAGTCCTAGACGGTAGGTGGCTCTTCGACGAGCACTTCCGACAGCTTGGTCCGAAGCTGGTGGACACTGCCTCCGCCCTAGGGCGACTTTTGCCCAATTTGGGCGGGGCCAGTGTTCCCACGAGGCGGCTGTACGCAGGGGTTGTCCGGTCCATGGCGCTTTATGGTGCACCGGTGTGGGTGGCGGCTCTGACCGCCCCGAATAGGGCGCGCCTCTGGCGCCCCCAGAGGATATTGGCGGTCAGAGCCATACGTGGATACCGCACGGTGTCCACCGAGGCGGCTTGCGCCTTGGCCGGAACACCCCCGTGGGATTTGGAGGCGGAGGTGCTCGCCGAAGTTTATCGGCGAGTGGCTGACTTCCGGGCGGAGAGCGGATTTCGCCCTCCGCCCGAAGACGTGCGCGAGTGGCGCGAAGCCGCTCGCCGAGCCACCATGGTCAGATGGTCGTTCCGGCTGGAGACTCCACGCGCTGGCTTCGCCGCCGTGGAGGCTCTCCAGCCGGTCATCGCCGAGTGGGCAGGGCGGCAACACGGGACCCTTTCCTTCCGGCTGACGCAGGTGCTTTCCGGGCACGGTTGCTTCGGAAAGTACCTGTACTCGGTCGCTAGGAGGGAATCGAGTCCCGCCTGCCACCACTGCGACTGCAGTGAGGATTCGGCCCAGCACACGCTGGCGGTTTGCCCCGCATGGGCGGCGCAGCGCCGGGCCCTCACTGCAGTCATCGGAGCAGATCTCTCGCTGCCGGCCGTAATTCGCTCCATGGCCGGTAGCGACAGTTGTTTTACCGCGGTCGCAACCTTCTGCGAGGAGGTAATCTCGCAGAAGGAGGCGGCGGAGAAGGCCCGGGAGGACGACCTCCACTCGGACCTGATCCGCCGCCGGCGAACCGGGCGGCGGAGGCGCGCTTACCTGCGCCTCATGCCGCCCTGAGTGTGGCCGCGGGTGGACGGGATGGGTTCTCCCCTCCACCCGCATTAGTTGGCCAGCCGCGAGGGGGCGGCGTCCGCGTGTGCCGGACGCCGCCTAAAAAGAGAGGTCCTGGAGACGGAGCCCGCACCAGGAGCGGGC